TAAAGTAAATATAATAAAATTGTAGGTGGATGAAATTATTTATTATTCCGCATAAGCCGGACAACTAAAAAATACTCCATCCGTCCCAATACAATAGTCGTGTTTATATTTTTGTCCGTCCCAAAACAATAGTCTCATTTCCATAAATAACCATATTATTATAAAACTATCCTTATTTTTTTATTATTATTACACAATTGTTACTACTTTTTACATTAATACACTTACAAGGGCAAAAAAGTCTTTTACCATTACTTTTTACCCACTTAAATCCCGTGTCAAAGACAACCCAAACTATAATTTTGGGACGGAAAGAGTAACATATTTATCCCATACGGAGGGAATAGCAATTTTTTTTTTCAAGGTTTAATCAAACGTGATCTTTAGCCCACGTAATAAATTAAATAGATGATGCAACTGGAATAAATTAAAAATATTTATAAAATATATCAAATATAAATATCATTTGTCATATAAAAAAATTAATAGAAATAAATAAATAAATATAATATAACACAATTCGATTAAAATAAATAAGCTTTAAATATTATTATTATATATTCCTCCCTCCCCTATAACACCCATAATTTACTTTTTACATGTTCAATTTTTTGCATGAAAGATTATTAAATATTTTCTCCGTCCCACTTAGTGTGTTCACCTTTCAATTTCTGTTTGTACTATTTATTATGTCATTCTCTTTTTTTTTTTTTTTTAAACTTTAATCTCATTTAAATTTTTTTAATTTATAATCTTTTTATGTTTTAATTAAACTAATTATTTATCTTAATTTTAATTTAAATTATTTTTATTATATGATAAATATTTTAAATTTTTGTATCTACAATAAATATGACACGATAACCGGGGCGGACGGAGTATGATATTTTATAAGTAATTTTCAAATTTGCATAATAAAAAAGTTTAAAAATAATAAATTCAGACAACAAAGGTTAGATTCTAGAGATTCTATACATATAAGCTATAAAACTAAAAAAAAAATGCAGCTCTATGACTACTTTCCCGATCCGATAATTATATACACAATTAAACTGTGTTGGAGGTTATTTATTTATTTATTTCTAAAAATATGTAAAAGTAAACTACTTGTTTTCCATTTGAAATATTATATATCCAACTATCATTTTACTTGAAAAAAAAGTAAAAAATCAAAACACATAAAACTTGTATATAATTGATTTTTTGGTGAAATAATTTTTGAATGTGATATTTTATACGAAAATTTATCATATTTTTATAGAAAAATATAATATTAAATAATGAGGAAAAAAACACACAAAGCGAGAGGCTTTGTTAACTTTGTTATATATGTTCAACTTTCACCATTTTTTTTAAAAAAATAAATACTGTTAGAAATTTTGGGAGAAAATAATGAGATTGTCTTATTGATCATCCAAATAAAAAGCCTATGCAATACAAAATAGACTCGATAGACTCAAATGTAAGTAATCTAATCTATTAATAAGATCAAATTTAGATATAAATCTACTAAATCTAAAATTGAATATCTAAAATATCTCAACATCCCCCTCAGTGATATAACAGAAACCAACTTGAGTTTGATAAGAAATTTGAATATAAACGCAAAAAGAAAATAGAAATAAAATTAGCAGTAGACTCTCCATTGAAATCGAAAACGAGATGACTTTCCACCTCGGAGTAAAAAACGAGATGACTCCACCGGAGCTGAAAAGGAGATGACTCCACCATTGCCGAAAATAAGATGACTCCATCGGAGCCGGAAAACGAGAAGACTCTACCGGAGCCGAAAAATGAGATGACTCCACCGGAGCCGAAAAATGAGATGACTCCACCGGAGCCGAAAAACAACACGACTCCACCGGAGCCGAAAACGACACAACTCAACTGGAGCCGAAAACGAGATGACTCCACCGGAGCCAAAAAACGAGATGACGCTCCACCGGAGCCGAAAAACAACACGACTCCACCGGAGCCGAAATCGACACGACTCAACTGGAGCCGAAAACGAGATGACTCCACCGGAACCAAAAAACGAGATAACGCTCCACCGGAGCCGAAAACGAGATGACTTCACCGGAATAAAAAAACGAGATGACGGTCTACCGGAGCCGAAAATGAGATAACCACCGGAGTCGAAAACAGACAAAATGCAAAATCGGACAAATCAAATCGTACGCAGGTAACAGACAAACAACGGACATATGACAGATCATAGATAGATTTCCGACAACAAAAATAAGCAACAAAAGATGGCAGATTGCACGCAACAACAGACAGACAACGGATATATGTCAGATCGTTTTAAATCGTTCGCAGGCAACAGACAAACAGCGAAGCTTTCAGATTGCACACAGGCAACAGAAAAGCAGCAAAGATTTCAAATTGCACACAGGCAACAGACAAGCAGCGGACAGATGGCAACAGATGGCAGATCGAAGACGAGACAGATTTGCAAAAATTTGCAAAAAGACAAAGGCATGATCCCAAAATCACAAGACTTCCGGGTACAATTTAGGTTGAATGTACCCGGGTTGGTAGGTTATATCTACAACATGAAAAAAATAGGTTCTGATACCATGTTAGAACTTTTGGGGGAAAATAATGAGATTGTCTTATTGATCATCAAAATAAGAAGCCTATATATAGGCAATATAGACTCGATAGACTCAAATTTAAGATCAAATCTAAATATAAATCTACTAAATTTAAAACTAAATATCTAAAATATCTCAACAAATATGTTACAAATTATTATATTTTAACTAAAAATTAAAACCATAATAATAAAAAAAAACCACAAACTTAAACAACAGAGCATATATAATTTCGAAGGAATATAATCCAGTTAATAATATGTCTTCTGTTAGTGCTTTTAGTTATTAGGGTTTACATTATTTTGTCCTTTGTTGACTACATTTATTGCATTTCTCAATGCAGCCTATAATATATATATATATATATTCATATTATTAAAAATTATTTTGAAGCCCCCTGAAATTTCATTCAAAGCTTATTTAATACATAAAATATGAAGGATCTTAAAGCCCTTTGAAATCTTCATTCAAAACCCTAATTAGTTCATATGTATGCATTTGTTCAAGAAAATTAACTGCAGTATAATAAAAATGATAGCTACCACTGATTTAATTCAATCAACCAATATATATATATATATATATATTTAAAATTTAATATGATAACCTGCTGCTTTATTTAATTTTTTATTGTTGGTTTATGTTGGGGACTCCCGTTTGCGGAATATGTAACTAATGGCTTAGTTTCCTTAACAAGTTCGAGCTTTTAGGTGAGACGGTCATTAGTTTCCGACAGTTTAATTATAATATATCTACCTGGTAAATTAAATTAATATTTTTGAGTTGCTGCAACTAAGGTTCTGTAAAGAATGATAATTGCTTCATCTGCAATCTCATTCCTTATGTAATACCTCTATATATCAAAATTCAATACAATTTTTTTTTTTCTTTTTCCCTAACAAAAAATATGTTACTTTCATTACGTACTTAATAGTAATTTGTATTAATAATTAATATAAAAAATAAATTGAGTTAAGTAGCCTCCTAAAATGTCTAGCTAAGTATAATCCAAGTTGAAATAACTCTTTATTACACCGCAACACAATTCTAAATGTTACATTTACCCAATTCTAAAGGTTACATTTACCCGTAAAACTTAAAATTCTCTAATGAGATTTTATAAATTTTATTTTCAAGAATCTTCCTATTAATTATGTCAAATATCAATGCGCCAATGAATGTATTACATGTCCCGCGCACAAGAACAGGAAAGTCGAAATCTTGCGCTAGAATTAATATATATAATCAAAAGTGTATGTACATCTACTATCATCGACTTTCTTACACTAATCATGATGGCACATACATAACACCAAACTTTCATTAATAATGAATTGATCGATGTTGAAAAAGTAATTTTCCATCCAATAAAAAAATAATTAAATTAAACAGATATGTTTGTCGAAAGATCATCAAAGATCAATAGTCATAATAATAAGTATGAATCATCACTCCCCACATTAATTCTTATCATTTTCCTACTCTATATGCGATATTAAATACCAAACCGACCATATGCCTCATATCGTTTTCTCTTGAACACCTTTCCGTCTCTAACATGAAAACGATATGTCGGTACAAATTTTTGAAAACTATTCATCTTAAATACAAATCTTTATTTTTCTTTTGTCCCATTGTGTGCTCAAGAAATCCATATCAGAATATGACATGGAAATACTGGATAAGTTAAATTAAATGCGCGTCGAATTAATTTAAATAAATCGACTACAATTCTTCTTTATTTGAACTACTATAAAGATCATATAATCCCTGAATTTAAACATGGTCTTAACGCCAATATTATTTATTATAATTTTCAATGCATCTAGTTTGGGTGGGTGTGTATTGTTGTAAAATAAAAATTTACAACACATAATTAAAGCTTCCAAAAAAAAAAGAAAATTGAAAAAGAAAAAGCTATAAATTCGAAAATGTATTTAAATAGGAGGAAAGATATGAACTGGAGATGGTCTGATCAGATTTAAATGTTTTGAATATTGAACATTATATATGGCCACATAATGTTACCAAAAGTGCTTGACATTTATTTGATATTAAATTTTTCATCAGTCTTGTATATATGTATAGAACACAAATTAAATACCCATTGTCCTCAATAAGTTTCACAAGGACTTGAAAATTCCAAAAAAAATATTAAATAAAAAAAATGAATATGAATCATCATAGCTTGACATTGAAAATAAAGTAAAATAAAATAAACCCTTTATATATATATATATGTATGTATGATCATCTGCAAACAAATTAAAGAAAGAAAGAAATAATTGAACAAGATCATGTTCATCCATTTATGGTTTGGTATATTTAAGGATCAGGACTCATCAGTCAAAACATTTGTCTTAATCAATAAATGGATATCGATCTATATGACTGATGAACAGAGACTGGAGTTGGCAGTTAGAACCACAACAATCATATACGAATTAAAGATCGATTCAAATTCAAATTAAATTAACTTCGATCTCAAGATCAAATTCTTACAATCCATCCATACGTAATTAACACATACCTGAGATCAAAATACAACACAGAGATAGAGAGTTTAAAGACAATCACCCGATCGATGATCTTGTTGTTCATCATGGAAAATTTGCAGTAGCAGCCATGTAAATCGAGTTAGGGTTATCAGCAGCTAGTTGGACCTGGTTCGTGAAAACTGCATACTGAATTGAGTTCATTCGATCATTGCTCAAAAAATCCCAATTGTTTCCAGAAAACCCCATTAGATTGCCATTCGGATCGACGTAGTCGGAAAGAGTGCAAGGAAAAGACATGGCTGACGAGGTTGAATTATCGAGCAATTTGTCGATGGTTCCAAGATCAGACAGATCCTGCGTGTTGAAAACCGTGGTGTAAGAAGAAGCCCTCTCCTGATCGTAGGAATTGTCGTCACGATCGCCATTTTCGAGCAGATGGATGTTCGAAAACCCTAATTTCTGAAAATTAGGGTTTGGTAATTGTGCTGAAGCTGATGATCCTTCAAGGTTCTTAATGATCATCTTCTCCTTCGCCCTGCATCTTGCCCTTGCCCTAGCTTTATCCCTCGATTCCCTGCTACTGTTTTTGGCCTCCAATTTGGCCTCCGAATTCGGATCAAATCGACTTAAATTCATCGAAGGATCAGGCTGATCGGAAAAAAAGTATTCAGTCTTGGTATCGCCATTAATGTCGTCGGGAGCTTTAAGGTTTTCATTTTGATGATTAACAGCACTGCAGCCTTTGGTGAGCTCTTTAATGGCTTTCTTCGATTTAGTGAAAAGCCATTCTATAGTTTTGCTGGCCTTATCGTACCCCAACATGTCTTGAAGATCGAAGAATTTTCTTGCAACCTGGAGGGACAATCTCATCCGTCGATCTCTGATCCCTTGTGCGGTGCAGATCTTACTATGCCTGTCTTTCTTCCCGGCCCTCCTCCTCGGCACGACGCCGAGGTTGCGCCGCCTCACGATCCCCGGAACCGCCGCCGTCGTTTTCTGGCCGTCGGATTTAGCCGATTCCTCCTCTTTCGACGGATCGTCATCTGAAGATAATTTGGGGGCAAAATTAGGGTTTGTATCTGATGGGGGTGCAGACATGAGGTGAGTCTGGAAGAAGATCTGATTCAGAGGGAGCTCGTCTTCATTGAAGAATTGAGTTGGGAGATTGAATAGGAACTGATCTTGATCTTGATCTTGATTTCGATCTTGTTTGGAGTAATTAGATGATTGTGGGTGAGCATAAGTTAAGGCGTGGAAAGGGTTAAGGTTGTCGTCGCAGGTGGGTGAAGAAGACGAAGAAGAAGGTGGAAACATGATGGTGGCTGCTTGCCGGTGGGAGCTAACTCTTGTAAATGCACTAGTTATTGTCTCTTTTATGATTCCATCTGCTTCCAATAAATTTATTTATTTATTTATTTTTCTCAAGAATTAATATTTTTAAAAATAATCATGTAATAATGATAATGCATTTGCAGCCACTGAAAATTAGGGCACGGATGTGGAAGATCAAGAACGAAGGTTATTTTCGGGAGCTCCGGGGATCACAGAGCCAGACCGGAGAAAGGGAGTGCCTGGTGTTGGAGGGCCTTGGAGCTGCTAACTTTAAATCCTTGATTAGTCCAAGTTTGTGAAGCAATGGGTAGTGGGTAGGGGGGTAGGGTTGCCTACACATTAGTGTAATTTCTTTAACATAGTTAAATTTTATAAATTGTTTTTTTTTTTTTTTTGATTAAAATTAAAAAGTAGTGATATATAGTTGAAACATAATTATTAATTAAGTTATGGGAGGTATATATAGTTAAAATTAAATATTATTGAATGTCAGTTTGGTTATATTGTTGCTTAAATTTAGAATAAAAAATTATAGGCAAATCATTACCACAATATTTAATTAATTAACCAATTTTTCTAAATAGATATTAATCTATATTTCAAGAAATTAATGCAATTCGTAAATTCCTACGTGGACGTTAGTTGTTATTATTATTATTATTGAAGAAGCTATTGTTGACTTGAGGTGGCTATTTGCCTAACAATGTAGGGTGTGTTTTGGTTATCAGGTTGAGTTCTGCTTAGCATTATGGTTCTGATTTTTTTTAATCTTAATTTTTTTTTGAAATATAAGATTCATTTATAATTTTATATTTCTATTTCTTCTAAGTAAAAACAATTATAAATATTTAAAATTAAGTATATATATATGTTTATTTATTTATATTATATATATAATATTTTATTTTTTATTTTTTTTACGAAATGACGCTCATATTATATATTTATTAAATCATAAATTTAAAAAAATTTCAATATATATTTGAAATTTATTTTTAATCAAATATATATTTTATATTACAATATAATCATTAATTAACCAAATATTTTTACTCGTAAAATCGAACTTTTAAGCACTATCTTAACTAATAACTAAACAAACCCTAATGAGTATTCTTGAGATGTATAATATATACCTAGTTAGAAATTAAATGCATCCTTTAATTTAATTTAATTTAATGTATTGTTATCTTAGTTATGTGTTCTCTTTTGCACTTTTTGTTTTAGCTTTAGAATAATATTTTGATATGATCATATTTTGAGTTAAAAGTAATGCTCTTTCTGACTCAGTTTAAAATATCATTTTTTTTTTCACTTTTTTCGTTGGTTATACTTCAAATTATTTCTTTTTTATTAAAATAATAATAATTATATATTAATACCAAAATACTTTTAACTTTTACTTAAATTACAAATATACTATTACATATACAATTACCTTTATACATAAAATAAAAATGCAAAAATATAAAAAATTCTTACACATTTTCACTAACTAATAAAATACTATTATTTCTTGTTCCGTAAGGGATGGTCTAGTTCAAACCCCGACGCCTCCAGGTTTTGCCTGCCACACATGGTTCGCCTAGTGTGATTTGCATTGTAGAGCCTAGTTTGCAAACTATTAAGTTCGGGCTGAGGCGTTGTACGTAGATTTTAAAATTCTAAAATTTTATAGATAATAATACAATAGAATAATAAAAAAATATTGTGCCCTCAAAACCCATTTATGTTTTAATACCCCTTCTATCCTGAAACAAGATTTTCATTTTTTTTTTCACGTAAATATTTTAATATTAATATTATATTTGTATGTAGTACAAATCAAGAATTTTTTTTATTAGTATTGTGTAATATAAAAGTAATAGATTTGTATAATATATTATATTTATTTATTAAATATCATATTTGTGCTATTTTTTATTTTTATTATTATTATTATTTTTTTCATTCAAAATATCACATATATTAACATTGCCAATTTAAAAACATCAATATTCAATTTGAATGCTTGAAAACACAAACATTTGTGACTTGCCATAGAATGCATGGATTGAGTAGTCCATATTAAATATTTAGTTATTGAACACATATTTTCAAGTCCAAATTTTTACCCCAAATAATCAATTGTGTATCATTCAATATAGTGTTATATATACATATATATATATATTTCGAAAAAATTAAAATTAATTTGAGGACATATTATGAAAATGAACTTTGTAGGTGTCCCCCATGCCTATCATTATTGCCCATGAGGCTAAGAGTAGGGCACAATTATTTGAATCAATTTTTAAATTGCTTTTATTTTCATTTAAAGTCCATATATATATTTTTCTTTGACTGAATCCCACATGTCACATTCAATTCAACAGTGAATTATTTAATATCAATCAAACCATTATTTTATTTCATTTTATTTTATTTTATTTTTTTTAAAAAATTCTCCATTATGTTTGATCATTATGAAGTTCTTTAGTATCATATCAATATGTAATATCTGCACAATCTTGGCTTAATATACACCATTATTTAAAATTAATAATAAAGTGATTTGTGCTTTTAACATCAAATAGCTATTTTGATGTACAACCAATTTTCTTACTCTATATTTATGAATCTAATGACTCATTAATTTTAGTTGTCTATTATAGTTAATTAAGTCTACAAGGCATGTGTACGAATATTGATGTTCCGCGTATATTTTAGTTCGATTATAACCCAATTTTGAAAATAAAGCCATATTTGTTTTCTATTTCAAATTCAATTCAAATCATCACTACTGAATCCACGTAGTTATCAATAAAAATACATTATTATTCTCATAAATATCACATCAAAAGTACTATTTAATCAAACTCTAAATCAAAATCTCAAATTCATCAAATCAAAACCAAACAAACCCTAAGATTATGTCTTCTTTAATATATATATATATATTTAATTTTATTACTATACAACTCGCGATTTACAACAAATACATAAAATTTTTCATACAAAATATCACATCTAATATTTATTTAACCCAAATTAATATATAAACTTAACCATAAACAAGAAAAGAACAAACCCTCAATTTATAATTCAATCAATGAATACCTCAAATATACATTGGAAGTACATATTGGATAATAAATGAAAATATATAAAATTACAAATAAATGATTCTTGCTCTAATTAACTCACACTACACAAAATTATCAATTTTGTAACGAAATTTTTTCGTTATTAAATTCACTTTTTATGTTACTAATGATATTAGAGACGGAATTAGAGATGGAATTACATTAGCTACGTGAACTTTAGAAACGGAATTCCGTTACAAATATACTAATTTTTTTGTAGTGTCAATTATTATTAATATTATTTTTTATTTGACATACTAATTAACTCATAATTTGTTTTACTTACCTTTTCATAATTCAACTTTTGATTTCTTAAGAAATTGCCAAACTCAATTCAAAAACGAATATCTACACATTCCGATTAAATTTAGTTTATACTAATAAATTTACATAATTTTCAATGTATTATCGAACTATTTCTCTCTCTAATTAGTGGTTGATTGTAATCTAAAATATAATTCACTCACGTGTAAGAGTGCACGAAATATATACATTAAGTACATTTATATATAATGTGATGGATCATTAATAATAAATAGTCACATATTGATTATTGAATAGCATTAAATATGATGTCGACTCCGCAAAATTGATTCGATATGTACAATATGTGATCATTTCACGATAAAATTCAAACACACATATGTAAGGGCGATTAGAGTTGTGCTGATTAGCCCTATTCGACGCATGGTTTGAATTAGACCAACATTTATTGTATATATTATTATGTATTGCATAAATTTATATACTCTCTCCGTCCCATTGAAAGATTACCATTTTTTATTTTCGTCCGTCCCAAAATAAGGTTATCATTTTCTAATTTAGTAATTGTACTACCTACTTCACACAATAAATACCCTTTCAACTTACAATATATTACACAAATACCATTACTTTTATATTGCACCATACTAATAGGGATATTTTTGTCTTTTTTATTACAATTCAATATAATGCTAATATTTAAAAATCTACGTGCAAAAAGCAAACATCGCCCTTCTTTGCGGGACGGAGGGAGTATTATATATTTATATTATATGCACCTTCTACTTAAACTAACTGTGTAATGTGTTACAAAGACTATTATTATTATTATTATTATTATTATTATTATTATTATGTATTGTCAGTTTATGGTGCTGCTGATTAGGGTTAATAAAAAATACCTAACCCCCCCCCCTCCTCTCTCTCTCATTCAAATTTTTGGTTTATATAAAATATATATAATGAAAATTTATAGTAATCTATAAATGTTGATATATTGGTGACCGACCAACAATGTGACAACTCAATTTATTATAAGGCCTGAAATGAATCGAGGAATCTAATAGAATGTATATATATATATATATATATATAATATTTATATTTGTGTGTGTGCATGCATGCATGGATCGGATGCCCCCTACCACAACACAAACTTTTGTCGTACATAATTTATGATTGGAATTATTACAGGAAATTGGTACAAATATTAACTCGTTCCACAGAGATATATATATATATATATTCCAATTAAAGCTATAGAATTTATTTTTATTTTCTACATTATGATATACAGGTTTTAATTTGAATAAAATTGATAGTATAATATATAAGATTTGTTTACATCGAAGAATATGATCTAATAAGCTTGATTTAAAATATTCTTTTTATTCCACCTACTAGACATATGTAGTAATCATAATTCAAAAAAAAAAAAAAAACAATATACTAATAATGAAATTGAATATAAAAACAGGTTTTGATAAGTCATAGTAAGCATATTATTAATTAGCATATATAGATAAAATAATTTATCCACTCTAATTAGTTGTAGTAAAATAACATAGTGTGTGTATGTATGTATATATATATATATATATGTATGTAT